TTAGTAACGGTTGTGGCCTCCTCTAGCGTCTCGTACTGCCACACAACGTCTTCTCATGGATCTCAGAACATTAGTAAACACTACCCCGAGGAAGACGTCGCCACTGCTCAGCAAGAGCATGTTGAAGGTCCTGTAACGTCAGTGGTGGATTCACTTGCTGACGAACACGTCGACCCAGTTCGTCCCAGATGTGTTCAATAGGATTAAGGTCGGGGCTAAGCGACGGCCAATCCAGGACTTGGACACCGGCATTTCTTAAAAAATTTCTGGGTAGCAATTGCTGTATGGGGTCGAGCATTTTCTTGTTGAAACGTTAGTCCAGGCCCATGTCTCTGCATAAACGGAAGAAGAACAGGTTGCAAAATCTGATCCCTGTACTGGACAGCATTTAAGTTCCCTTGGACAACAACAAGAGGAGAACGTCCATGTGCACAAAAAGAACCCGAAACCATGACGCTGCCGCCACCAAATCGGTCAACTTCTCTGACGCTTACTTGAGCGTAACGTTCACCTCGTCTGCGGTACACTCGGACCCTGCCATCGGCAAATCTCAAAGTGAATCGAGATTCGTCACTAAAGACAACCGAATCTTATGTGTCTTGTGGCCCACACAAGTCGGTTATGGCGATGAAGAGGTGTCAATATTGGTCCATTATAGGGCCTCCGAGCTCGAAGACCAGCAGCCTGCAAGCGATTTCGAACAGTTTGTGCAGTTACCCTTCCACCAAACATCTCTCTACTTGTGGAGGTTGCAGTGACAAATCTGTTTCTAAGATGACGTAATCGTATTGCTTGATCTTCCTGGAGTGACGTCACACGTGGCGCTCCAGCCCTTGGGCGGTCGGCAATAGTTCCAGTTTGAAGCACTCTCATTCTAAGATTAATTATTGTCTGGCGTGAACAATTAAAGGCTCTTGCAACAGTGACCACAGACTGGCAGTAGGGAGCCTACCTATAGCACGTAGACGTTCTACACTTGAAAGGCGCGGCATTTTCTAACAAAGATGAAAATAACAATTTTAATTTGTTTTTCCAGTTCAAGTTACGTGTGCGTGTTCAGTTTAAGCAAACTTGCATCGATTGACCTCACGAGTTTGTGTTTGCACGTGTTTTTCAGGTTTTTCATCTTGATATGCTCAAAAGTCACGTGATCCACGTGACATTACAATTTTATGAAATTAAAGGCTTCTTACTACTTACTATCGTTAGAAACACTTTAAAATTTATTTGACTTACCAGAAAAAAAATTGTTGAAATTCATTAGTGTCAAGTTTTTAATTTGGCTGAGTATATTAAAAAAGGGATGTTTTTTTCTGGTTTTACCTTATCTTGCTTCTAAAAAGTGTTGGTTTTCTTTATTTTGAAACAAACTATACAAGAATGACAGTAATGGTGTTCGCTTTTTGCAGCGTTCAAACAAACAATTCACACCTTTCTGTAATTGCTGTTGGGTCCTTATTATTGATGGATTTTATTATTTCCACGAATAGGGTCCAAGGTCCTTTAGGAATGCCAGCAAACCAAAGCGGAGTATAATTTTATCCATATTTAATATCCATGGCGCGAGTGACGAGAAATTAGGCCTATGCATTAAACCAGCTCAATAAATGAAAAGAACAGGACATGGCCCAAATAACGAGTAATTCAGGCGATTATCTGGCACTAAAATACGCGAAATGAATAAATGAATTCAGGAAACGACAGGAGCAATTTAATGACATGCCATGTTCTAGAAATCTGTGTGTTTTTTCCTTTTACCTTGATTAACCTTAGAAAAAAACACGGGGCAGATTTACGAGGTTTTGATCGATTATATAAAGACATTGACCGACTTCTTTTACTATCCTTTCTCTTAATTTACAGTTCATTTCAAACATTGAAAATGGTGAACTCTGTCACGCCATAATGTCACACTTGATTACTTACTGTATTTTCTGTCCATATTATACAAAACTACTTATCTATAATGTATTTAAGTATGCATTATCACTCAAAGTTAGAAAACAAATGCAATTAATTTCAAATAATAGCAGGTTCGAAGTAAATTATCAAAACCCTAAACATGCTGTATAAACTAGGTCATTTCGGGATTAACATAATAAGTCGTTCAATTTTCAGATCAATAATACACGCGCTGTGGCGTGGGGTCTTTAATATTAAGGTGTGTGTGGGGGGGGGGGCGTCCACTCAAGAAAAGAAATATGCACCTTATGATCTAAATCCCATACATGCGTAAGGCTACCCGACTACCCCCAACCCTACCCCCCTGTTTTCGCTAAACTACTTGATAATCTCATAACAATATGTATGTCTCGTAAGTTCTGTTGGATGGGTGAAGGGTGTATGCCTCGTAAGTTCTGTTGGATGGGTGAAGGGGGTATTCTTGTACCGGAATTAATTAATGTTTTCTAAACATTTATATTAACATCCACGTCTTTCTAAATCAATTGTTGGCGTTTTGTGTCGAACTCAGTATTTCACATTTATTTATATTATATTCCATGATCTTTTCTTTATCAACAAATACAATTAAACCTTCTACAAAATTCACCCCAAAATAACATATTTTTCTATAAATATGAACAGCTAGATTATTTTTTTATTTATTTCTACCTTGTACGTGACAAGGAATAGGGTAGCTTGCCCAGCCGCGTTAGTTTTCTCCGAGTTCTCCGGTTTCCCCCCCACCGCTAAAGACACATACATGCAAGCGAATAACTGAAATAAAATTGGATCATGTTAGTCCCGAAATTACCTAGTTTGTGTCGAGCGGACATTTATCTCCCTCTTCGTCTCAATTACTTTAACGATATCAATCTATTAAATAACCAGTTTCTAGATTATATAAAATTTTGAAACTGATAACTTTGAAGAAAAACATTTTTGGCATCGTCATTTTGTTCACTAATGATTCTTAAATTCTTACTGTTCATTCTTTTCTGAAATGATTCCAACCAGGTAGAAGAAAATTATGAGATGGTACAATAAGCATGACAGTGATGATTATTGAATTGATCTGATTTCGATGACGTTAATAATAATGACTTATAGTTGAGACTTTAATGTAAAGATCGGATGCCCCGTGTATTCGTTATAACAATGATAAAAAAAAAACGAGTTTTATATAATACAGTATCTACGACAGTACTTCCGAGGCACTGAAAGTGATTGTGTGGATCATTTGTTTACCATATCAATAAATGAATACATGTACACACAAATGCCGATTTCGTGATATAGGCCTAAATATGTGAACCATATGTCATAAACAGCAAGAATTTCAGTGGTGTCGGGATGGCTCTGTGAGTCCCGTGTTGGCCGAGAAATTCCATAGGAATTTTCCGGCGCGGTTTCCCCTTGTCAGTGAGACGGCATGGAGGGCTTGGCAAGGAACAACGTATAGTCGTTCCGATGATACGAAAGAGAGAGATCATTTCGGGACTAACATATGGTTTAATTTTATTTCAATAATTCGCTTGCACATAGGGGTCTTTAGCGAAATACCGAGGTCCAGTGTACACATTGGTGTGTAGGTGAAAGAACCCTTGGCAGTTGGAATTCGATATAAGAGTAGGCCGTAAGGCCGGTGTTCGGGCAAAGTTTCCCCTATTGCACACTGTATGGCGTATGCGCGCCTTCATTAGCCCAGTCGATGCAGAATGGTGCCGTATTTAAAAATCCCTCATTTCGAGAGCTACAAGTGGAACAAGTTTCCGAGTATGTTTAACTATGCCCCATAATGTTTTGCGGTTGAAAATCAAAATCAATTTTAGCTTATGAAGAAACAAATTGGGGTTTAAAATTTCTGCACCAACAGAGCTGATGAAGACTGGGCTTTAAAAGAAAGCGCTTTTGAGAATTACGTCACACGAACTAGTAAATATTCCAAATGTTCAGACTGTAGCATCATAAATCATTTATTGAAAGCAAGAAACCTTATACATTTTATGTGCAATATGATGAGGATTTTATTCAGTAGATCTGTTGCTGATCAAATTAAATGTCTGTCTAGTTTGTGTTATTTTAATTTTCGGCCTACGTATTGTTAGCAAATTGAACATCTTATACCCTTTAATCGATACCAAATTTAAATTCTTGAAACAACGAAGCTGGACCTCACCAGGTCTCTGTCCCTGGGCTTAGCCAGCGGTTACTTCTTAGACCCACTGAAACGTTTATACTAGACCGCCACAAGTACCCCAAGCTCTGTGATGAGTTTGTTAATTAGTTTTCAAGCTGACCCTAAATGGCTGGATAACCAGTTCAATAACCTGCTATAGTAGAGTTGTCGCATGTAACAGGTCGTAAACAATAGGCTAACATTCTTTGAGTTAGGTAACCTCATTAAGCCATTTTAGCAATCAACTACGAACATTTTTTAGTAGAAATTTCAGACAAGAAAAGTGAATCATTTCCTTATAAGTTGACGTTTCATTTGCATATATCAACCCACTGGGAAATCTGAGTCTGCTTTAAATTCTTTAGGTATGCCATATTGGCTTGCCGAGATACAAACAATCCGTGTCATTAAGCAAGAAGTATCCTGAACAGACTCTCGCTCCAGCATCAATGACAATGGGAAGTTAAGCTAAAAAAATCCCAAGAACTTTCTCGGTCAACACCGGGACTAAACCCATACTTTCTGGTTAATGAGCCAGCAATACTCACAGAGTCACGATGTCTTCTCCGTGATTACATAAACCATAAATTAAAACAAATCTTACTGGAAATATGCAACTAGTTAAGAACATGTATTAAAAAATGTGTTTTATAGAAATAAAAGGGTTTACGTTTCAATTAAAAAACGTTGTTATAAAGAAAACTGCTGATTGGCGAAGCAGCTGCAATATACATAGATACAATGGAATAAAACCAAATGAATTGCAAAAGAAATTCAGGTGTACATCTTCTGTGTGAACTATTTGTTTTATCATTAGAGGCGGTGGGTGGTGGGATTAGCTTTGCGTATAAGCAGACTCTTTAAAATAAAGTTAACTTACCTACGCTGTCGACGACACCCAAATACTCCGATGTCATAAACTGTCTTTTTAAAGATGACTTGCCCACACCCGACCATCCAAGGACAAGAACTCGAAAAATAAAGGCAGGCAGTAGAGAGTTAACACTGTTTGACAGCGAGCTGGAGTTGGTACCAGATAGGGGTGTCAGTTCGGTCATACTACTGCTAGCAGATGACGCAATACTGTTGGTACTACGAGATCGCACCGAATCACCGCGATTAATAAGGCCTTTCCGAGTTGTTACAAAAGTTCGCATGGTATAGCATTCCTGTTCTGAAATATTATCAATGAACGGTGAAAGGTACTGAGGCCGAGGTTTCTGCAGACAGTTCCTGGAAGGCAAACTGCTGGTACGAGGCCGAATCTCACTGAGTTCAACATTGTCCAGGTGCTTTTTTCGCGGTTTCTTTAATGATGATGACCTTTTGGAAGGTTTTGGGCTGATATGTAAGGCGGCCAGTCCTCGAGTCGGACTAACAGATGATGAAACAGAACTGTGCCTACCGCTACTTTGGCGGTATAAGTCCTCCATATTCCAAATTAAAAATTTAAAAAATAGATTTTAAAATTATCGAAAATTAATCTGGTCCAATTAAACAAAGTTTGTGTTTGTATTCTTTTGATGTAATCGGAACATTTCGGAACTATCGAATCACTGTCGAATAATAATCACATAACACAAGTCTTTAATAACTATAGCTATCTAGTTAGAAGCCAGCAACTTATAGCATCTTCCGATCTTCTATAAGGAATGAGCACGATTAAACGTTTGGCTGGTACAACACACAATATACTGTAGGCATTGACGAGCTGTTGAAATCGTATAACGAGTCAGTACGAATGCTCAACCACTCGGAGACGAGAGCTCATCGATCTGAAAAGACAACGGGTTGTGAGGAGGTGCGTCAACCGCCTTTATAAACAATACACTTCGAATCATTATACTTGTAGATTATTTCTAACAGTATGCTGGCATCAAATAATTTACAATACAATATTCTCGTTAACATAGTTTAAATCAATTTTAACATCTCTTATGGCATCTGGTACACGTCAATATCAAATTGAAATCAACTAAATAGAGACGTTTATTTGAACATATAGAGAGGTATATTGAAGTGTTTATTTTATTTCGATGTCGTTACTAATTTCAAAAGAATTATTAAATATTGACGAATAGTGAATTATGTTAACTTAATGCACCCCATTCACACTGTTCATAATGATTGGGGAAAGATAATGTTTTCTTAGAAGAAGATGCTGAGTGTCTGTCTTTCATAGCTCAATTATAAACTATTTATAAAGGGGGGGGGGGCAGAAAGTTTAACGATGTTGAAACTCTTTTTAATGAATTCGATAATTCTATTGATGTGTTATTCAGAGAGTGTCAATATTTGACATAATGTAAAGCCTACCGCACACCGCCTATTTTTATGTTTTCGCTTCTGGAAACTTAATTTAAGAGCTATTGTAAGGTAAACAGCGATGCTGTCGAAACCAGAGCGAAAGTGCGAGTACGGGCAATTTGTGGGCTTTGGCTGAAGGATTGCCACCGCCGATCACGTGACTATTCCTGTGTCCTTGTGTTTCGTACTATCGTACACTAGCTTTTTTTTTCGTGCTACTGGCTTAATGGCGACCCGCGACTTTCACAAGATGAGAGTCTGTAGTACTATGCGTCACTGGTTAGACGTGGAAAGCCCAAACACTCAAAAAAACTCCCCACAACCAACGTGTGACGCATGCTCTTTCTCTGCTGCACATTTTATTAGCCTTGTGATCGTCTAATATTGTCCCTGGTTATATTTGTAATTCTTTATATAGAACTCCACTTTAACCGTTGTGAATCTGTTCTCAGCTTACTCAGTTTATGGTTACAGGAATAACAATACCACAGTGTGTTTCTATTATTTTTATGTCAAGCACTGGATACATAGATTACAATAAAATCATTCTCTCAATCCCACTCCCATCCAAACTTTCAAGAGCGAGTCTGCTGATAGAAATTGCTACATTTTCTCCTTAAAGAATCTGCCGGGTGTCTGAAATTTCGACGCATTAATTTGGCGTTTTCTATGCGATTAGTCACTCATGCCCACTGACGTCACGAATTAGCCAAATATGGAATGGACATGCCTCATACCTTGCATACCAACAGGTCGCCCTTTTCGTCGTCCTGACTTACGGCGACTCTCGCGTTATATCTAGAAACACGACGATGTAAATGGACGCTTTCAGCCACCATACCAAAAGCGACCTTCAACTTTTTGTCAAATTGATATCTGGAAATTCGGCGCCGGCGGCAAAAGTCAATATATCGTTACTGTCGCCGCTATGATTGACGAGCACATCGGCATTCATTTTCTAGCAGTACGAGAACAATTATGAATCGCGTGCAAACTGGTGAAGAATATCACCAGTGTGCGTTAGGCTTCAGATATGCTGATATTCGTTGGGGGTTTTTTTTGTAGTTTTAGTAAACACAGATCATAGTAGGTCAATTAGAACGATCTGTTATTGAGTGTCCTTCATCTTGACATTTAATAAAAGATCATGTTTTTTTCTTGGCGATAATGTCCTTGCTCACATATAAATTGTTTATGTTGGATTAGGAAATTAAATTGCGATGTTATTGAGAAAAAATGATTAATTATCTCATTTCTCACTGCTATATAATTAATATAACAACATTTTTTATAATTAAAAATATATGGATAATATAACTTGATCTCTTTGTGTCTCGGGTTCCAAAGATTGGTATGTGAAGTAGCTTAAATCAACAGTCAAAGTCAAAATACATATTCAATGTATTGTCCTCAATCATATATTCCTGAATAATAAACTGACAATGCCCTTTACCATTACTTCGAAAATGTGCTTAGATATTTAGCCCGCAAGTCAAGGTCATAAGGGTAAAAAGCTTCGTCGATCAAAATTACAAATACACGTCCCATTTGTTATTTTTTAATCAACCTAGACTAGCTCTTTTCAGGACGGGGGAAAGCAGACCTCGGTTTTTGGTCCCATCTGCACGACTATATATATTAGGACAACCCCGGGTAGTTGTAATTTTCATTACGATTATCTAATATGGGAATATCAGTCAGAACCCGCATTTAATTAGCAGCAGGGTGTGCCTTCTGTCAATCATACAAAATCAAGCCAACGGCATTACCGCAATATTTGAATAAGGTCTGTAAGACAAACCCCATCGCTGCGTAAAGGGTAAAACGAGTGCCCAATTTAGAAAAACGTAGCGATCGGTTTGGTACACAAAGTGGAGAGTGTATATAATACCTGTTTATACTTCTCATGAAGAGTGCATATATTTTACAATAACGAGGATTTTGTTGTGCTTAGCTTAAAATCTGCGATATCCGCTGAATTGGAAGCGGGCGTTGACCCCTATGATACTACTTCTTAAATTTGTTTACAACAATGAAAACCTTCGCGACAGAGTAAATTGTATGTACATCACGTAAAAACATCATTACGATGTCCTAATGCACGTGTTGAAATCAGATTTAAATCAAGTTGTAATGGGGTGTGTGGGTGGTGTGTTTAGCCGACGCCGACTGGATAAATTATTATCAGTTATATGAAGCATTTACCAGCTTCCAATATCCAAACAAACACAAATGAAGAATCAGTTTCCTTGAACAGCGCACGAATTCTGATTTGTGTAGCATGTTCCTTTTACTCGATGTGTTAACGTCTAAAATCCTGATGTTATTTTAGTTAATAAGATCTTTTGTTCACTACACTTCTGTGTAACAGCTAGATATGTGACCAATAGGCAGGCTAAGAGCACTGAGAACTTTATGGATGTTTTTAAGCATTACCTAAAAAGTTGCAATTTCATATTTTTAAGTTATATTTTTAAAATTTATTAAAATAAAGCCTTAAAATAGATGGTATCTATAAACAGTCCTACCTTGTTAAAGAATAATCCTATTAATCCTATAATTCACTATTGCCAGTTGAGAAATTGACAAAAATATCATTTTCATCTTCAAATTTGAAGATAACTACTCCATGGTGGAGAATAGAAAACAAGGAAGGTAATTGGGGTGGGGGGGTAATTGTGTTATTATTTCCGGTGTAAATGAGTTTTAAGTGTGAGAATGACACCTATGATCGTATAATAGTGAGTTGACAACCTATTGAGCAAAAGACATAGAAATAATTATGTTTAGACTTTCTTAGATAATATGAAATTGTAACTTTAAGCTCCCGTTATGTTAAGCCTGATTTATAACATCGACTATCGGTAGGTCAGCTTAACGTTGTTGTCTGAACGCAAATGTCGTGAAAATATGCCACTTTAATTTTTAGTTTGTTTTACAGGAAAAAGGGCTCGCTGCCGTCTTCGGGGAGGACTTTTTTTATTCAAGCCGGACTATCTAGGCCTTCAGTGCATGTGTATTTCATTATTTTTCTGGAGGGCCGTGTCTCTAGTAGGATACGGGTTGGCAAATAGACAACGGGTCTACAGCTAAGCAATCACAATCAACGTTGTATAAAAAAACGAGGCACTTTATGTACCAGGAGCCGGGCATAATTCGTCAATCGATGTGCAATTGTCCGAAAAACAAGCGTGCCAACTTGTGTTTGGAATGTACTTGATGAAGAAGGTTCCCAAGTGTAGGGTGGCCCATGTACACTACAGAAATAAAGTCCACTGCTGATCGTTCGAGACTACCACTGAAGCGTACACATTCGCCGTGCCGAGACCAACTTTCTGACAGTATGATACTATAAATAGCCATGGCACGTGAAATTCTCTACAAATCTATCAACTATTACAGCCGTAAAAAATTTATTGTTGACGATTTTGAATAGCAGTGAAATTAAGCTTCTTGGTTATTACAGCAGATTTAGAAATTACGTTCGTTTCATTTTTTAAATCGCTTTATCATTAACTGTACCGTTAAGAGCGGCATCTTTTGGTTTAGTACAAATAATATCTCTGAATCACTCGGGTTAGACAGGAACATGATACTAGCAGTAGTTTCATTTTACTTTTACAAGGTTCTTAAAACGATTGTTGAGCTACCTAACGTGCTTATTTCTAAATTCAATTTCTTGTTCTAGCTTTCTGTTATGTTTCGTAAAAAAGTAGTCTTGATTATCCCGACCTGTCAATCAGACGTAGAATGGTCGATAGACTGGTTAAGCGAGACTGATTTCAAAACAAGGGCACGTAACCTATCTTTTACTCAAAAGTGTCTGGATGTTATGGACGACAATTGGAACCAGTTTTCAGTCTATTATTTGTAGATGATTAATGGTCATAGCTTATTAAGTACAACATGATCGTTTATTTAGTGACTATAATTGTGTGAAACTGATTTGAGGCTTGGCATATATATCAATAATGTGGCGTAATTGTCGAGATATATGGAGATATATGGAGATATTTATTTATGGTGGGTCACCCTACTTGCCAAGTGTATGCAACAGTTATTTGTTCAAAAATGCCACACAGAGGGTTAATCTGATCTCCACGTTTGTTCGTAGCTGTTTGTTCGCTGAGTCGTTAAGTCATTTCTCAGTACCCGCAGTCTGTAGATGAAGTAGCTGAAGTAGCTTCTAGACCAGGAGTCACCAAACTTTTTTCATAGTTAGTCAGATCAATATATTGTGTACAGCCTTGCACGAG